AAAAAATAAAAATAAATATTATAAATAATATAATATTTATAATTTATTTATTCTTACCAAAATGTTTTGATACTTCATTTTGTCTATTTGAAAAACTTTTTGAATCTTCTTAGTAGAAATATATCGTTATATTGGTTTTTCAATAGGAGTTGGTGGCGTTATTGTTAGTGTTGGTGTTGACGTTGGTGTTGATATTAGTATTAGCATTGGCATTAGTATTAGCATTAGTGACTTCAAAGAGAAATTTAAGCATTTTGGTCAAAGAAAATTAACTTTTGTCGCATAAGCTAAGTTGATTAGCAGATTCGATAATATGTACATATAAAATTTTATTATGATTGGATTACTGGTTGTAATGTTATACACATTTTTCATATTTATATTATCTCACGAATTTTTTTATTTTTATTTTTTATCTGTACAGTAACTTTAAAAGTAATTTAAGTATTATGGTCAAAGGAAATTAACTTTGATCGTGTAAGTATAGTTGTTCAGCAGGTTCAAAAATATGTATATATAAAATTTTATTATGAATGGATTAATAGTTGTAAAGTTATACACGTTTTTCGTAATTGTATTATCTCACAAATTTTTTTATTTTTATTTTTATTCATACAGTGACTTAAAAGAGCAATTTAAGCATTTTGGTCAAAGAAAATCAACTTTTGTCGCATAAGCTAAGTTGATCAACAGGTTCGATAATATATGCATATATAATTTTATTATGATTGGATTAATGGTTGTAAAGTTATGAATGTTTTTTGTAATTATATTAGCAGTTACCAGATTTGCAGATTTATCGCAACTTGTAATTTTAAATTCTGCAATTAAAATAATTATATTAGTATCTTTTTTTTTTGAAAAATAATCAAATGTAAAAATGTATCAATATTTTTTTATATTTTTTTAAAAAAATATTAAACAAAATTAATAATTGTTAAGTTTTCTTTTTTAGACAAGTCAGGTCAGGTCAGGTCAAAAATATATTTAATTTAGGTCAATTTTATGTCTGATCTGACCTGACCTTATCAGGTCAGTCAAGTCAATTACCCAACCTGACCCAACCTGTTTGGAGCTCTAAGCTTAGCAAATTATTGATGAAAATCATTCTGATATTATTTGTCTTGGATGTAATTCTCATGTAATTAATCTTTTAATTAGTAATATTTTAAAATTTGATCAAATCAAATTTGTTATTGAAAATGCAAAAAAATTAGTTAATTATTTTAAGACACATATACAAGTAGCAGCTAAATTAAATTAAAGCGTATTCAAAGAGAAAATTATAATAAAGAAATTGCATTAGTTTTACTAGCACTTACACGATGAGATACACATCTTGCTTGCATTCAATTACTTCAAAAATCAAAAACAGCACTTGAACAAGTATTAATAGATTTAATTATTCGTGAAAAAATGGATTTTACTTTGAGAAATTATATATTATCAGATAGATATTAAATATAACAATAAAAATTATGGAACTAATTATTGTAATATTAAAGTTATTTGAATCAAACACTTCAATTTTATCAACAGTTTATTCAAATTTTAAAAAATTAATGAATCAAATAAATCAAATAGATTGTGAATTTTCTGATAAACTATAAGAATTTGTTATAAAGTAATAGAAATATACATATTATCCAGCTATATTTGTAGTTTATATGTTAGATCCACAATTTTTAGAAGAAAGTAATAATGGACTTAAATCTACATGTTATGCAGAATTTACAAAATATACAAATGAAAAATTTAGTGAAGAAGAATCTATAAATTTATTTATTGAAATGGTTAATTTTCGTGGTAAACACTCTCCTTATGATAATGAAATTATTTGGAAATCTGCTAATTCTCTTAATTCATCTATATGGTGGCAATCATGGCAAACTAGTCCACTTCAACAATTAGCTATTAAAATTCTTTCAATTCCTACATCATCTGCAGCTGCAGAAAGAAAATTTTCCACTTTTGGTTTCATTCATAATAAAATTCGTAATAGATTACAAAATATACGTGTTAAAAAATTAGTTTATATTTATGGAAATCTTCGGATTTATAAAGGACCTTTAAAAATTACAAAAAAAAAAAATTTAGCATTAGTAATTAGTGATAATAGTGAAAATGAAGGAAATAATGATGTAAGTGATTCTGATGAAAGTAATCATGGGTTTGAATGTAATGTATTAAATTTAAATGAAGAATAAATATAAATATATTCAATAAAAATTTTTTTTCGAAATTTTATAAAAAAAATATATATACGGTTAATTAACCAAATCATAAATAACCGTGGATATTATCCTAAACCCGGGGTCCAGGATAAGAGTGCTCATTATTATAACTAGAATTGTTGATTATCATGTGATTTATAAAAATCATTATATTTTTGATGGCAATACTCAAATATTTTATAAAACGAGTTCTTTACAATCAATGGCAGACAAAAAATGTACAATTTATATCGTTGACGTGGGACCTACTATGTGGAAAGTCAAGCGTGAGGGCAGCACTGCGTTAGATCTGGCTCGAAAGGCCCTTTTAGCTATGCTTGAAGCAAAGGTATTTTCGTTATTTTTTATTTTATTTTTTTCCTTTTCCTTTTATTTTTTTCTATCATTCTATATGCATACTACATGTTAGGTAACGATTATATCAAATTTACGCGAAAGTTTGTTTTAAACGCGTTCAATTGTGGCGCAGTATTTACGGACTTCAGTAAATTTGTTTTCGCACGTCACATTTATAATAATAACAACAATAATAAATACAACTATCAATTTAAAGGTGTTTGCGGGTCTTAAATCTGATGTGACTGGGTTAATTGTATTTGGAACAGATGGTAACGAAATAAATTGACTTGATTTGATGAATTATTTTTGAAAATAACCTTTTATTTATTAAGTTATTTCCTTTTTAATACGTTAGAGACAAGTAATCAGCTGAACGAACAAACAAGCGAATACGAAAACATAACTATTCTTTATCCAATAGAACAGCCACAGCTACCAATCCTTCGAACAGTTAATAATAATATGCCTCGCGGGAATGTACAAGCAGATGGTTAGTAATAGCAATTATGATATATCAATTATATAATATTTTTTTTAAATTCCAACTTTTATATGTAATTAATTAATCATTTCTTCAGCTTTTGATGCAATGATCGTTTCATTGAATATGATTGAAGAACATTGTAGAAAATTAAAATACACAAAAAAGATATATCTTTTCACTGATGGAGAGTCTCCCATAAATCAATATGATTTTGATCGTGTATCATCTCAAATTTTAAGTCAAAATATAGAACTAAACATCTTGTAAGTATTAATTTATGATACAATTAAGTTTAATGGATCGAGGATGAAATTAGTACTCTAGATTCATTTTATTTTATTTTAATCACATAGAGGTGTGGATTTTGAAGATCCTGATATTAGGCACTGTGAAGAAAACAAATCTGAAAACAAGGTATTATTTCTGCAATATTAGTTTTTTTTTTTTGACATACATTAATAATACATTAAATGGCTCGATTTAAATAGAAAAGAAATGAGCAATTCTTACGAAAGCTTGCCGACAAATGCAAAGGCACGATCTTTTCTATGGAGTATGTTTTGAGACAACTCTCAAAACCATATATAAGGCCTGTAAAGCCTACATCTGTTTATCGAGGAACCTTAACTCTTGGGGATCCCGAAACGTATAAATCAGCCTCGCTTGTAATTGATGTCGAATTGATTGCTCGTTCAATGAAAGCAAAATTAAAGAGTTTCAAAAAATACTCTGCTCTCTCTGAAGCAGCAAACAATATCGAGAACAAAACATACGAAGTGAGTCAATCTAGGACTTACTCTATAACTGTAGATGAGAATGTTAATGAAAAGGTTGACGTACCACAAGATGAATTGGATAGAGCTTATGCATTAGGCAAAACTTTTATTCCAATAAGCAAACAAGATGAAAATGTTTTTTCATTTGAATCCTCTCCATGTTTATCAATAATATCCTTTATTGGAAAGGAAGAGGTAATTTATGATATAAAATTGTTTAGAATTATTTACCAAACCCTTATTAATCTAGCTTTCATAATTATCTTAGTTCAGAAGAGAACTAGTCTTGTTAAACGTTTTTACGGTTGTGTCCAAAAAAGATGACCCAGTTGCTGCTCAACGACTTTCATCTTTTATACATGTACTTTACGAAAAAGATTCTTTTGCTATAGTTCGCTTTGTGAAAAAAAATTTTGAGCCACCAAAATTAGGTGTTTTAATTCCTTACATTAAGCCACCTAAAGAATGTTTATACTTTGCCCGTGTGAGCATTTAAAGCACATAGTAATTGTTTTTATTTGATAAAGTAACTGATTGATTCTTTCAAATTATCTGACTATCTGACTAATTTATCAAAAAGATTCCTTTCAAAGAGGACTATCGGAGATTTACTTTTCCATCGTTGGATCGTATTGTGTCTAAAACCGGAAAGGAATTAGAAGTTCACGAATATTTGCCAACTGAAGAAATGCTGAATAAGATGGGTAAATTCATTGAAGGTTTGGATTTGATGAATGCTGCGATTGATGATGAAGGGTTAGTACTTTTTTTTCTATGAAATTTTATTTAGAATTTATATATCATTTTAAATATTTTCTCATTATGCATTATGTAGTAATACTAGAGAATATTTAAAAGTGAAAGAATGCTTTAATCCGGTTAATGTTATGATAAAAAAAGCTGTTAGCCATAAAGCGCTATATCCAGAGGAACCTTTGCCACAACCCGATCCGGCTTTAAAATCACAGACGAGAATGTTACCTTCATTGGTAGAAAAAAATAAAGAATTAGTAAATGAAATGCGAGCGTTATTTAATTTAAAAGAAGGTGAATATATTTTAATTTGACCCTTTTCTAAATCTTTAAGCTAACAATTGATTTTAAATTATAGTTAAAGGAAAAGGTAAAACTACGAAACGTCGCTTCGCTGATGCTAATGTAAGTGTTGAACAAAATTTGAGTCTTGATCAACTTTTAAGCAATGATGAACAAGAAAAGGGGAAAAGAACAAAAACTGATAATGGAGATAGAGAGAATACTTTGATGCAAGAAAAGCAAGAACCTATACGTGAAGTAGGTTTAGCAGATCCTGTTGGCAATTTCAAAGAAATGATTGCTAATCGTGAAGAAGATTTGGTTACCACTGGTAAAAAAAAAAAATTCTTGCTTTTTGTTTAAATTGATTCTGAATTGCTAATAAATATTTTATTTAAAGCGGTGGAACAAATGTGTCAAGTAGTTGAGCATTTTGTGAAATCTTCATTTGGAACATCGCTTTATGATAAAGCATTGGAATGCTTAAAATTATTACGAAAAACTTGCGCAAAAGTATGTTGTAATATAATTTTTAAAATTATTAATGGTTAAAATTAATTCCATAAATTATTATTGGTAGGAAAATGAATCCGAGATGTTCAATAAATTTCTTAACGAATTAAAAACTATTGCTTTTACTTCTAATCCTCCAAAAACAAATTTTTGGGAATTACTTGAACGCATTAAGCTGTCATTAATTATTAACACAGAAGCCGATGATAGTATGATTACTGAGAAAGAAGCAGAAGAAGTAAATATTTTGCCATTACACTTTCTACCGCATTATAAAATATACTAAAAAAAAAATTTTTTTTTAATCAGTTTTTAAAGAAGAAATTGGAAAGGAAGATTATTGAAACAGCGGATGAAGAACAAATGCCAACAGATGAATTGGTAAGGAATCTTTTCGGACAATAACATTTTTTCTTTTTTTAAAAAATATCATTTCGAGAACTAATTTATATATTTCCTACAGTTAAATTTAATGGATGATGATTAAAACGTATTTCATTAAACGCAATGTATATAATAGTAAAATTTTTACACCAGCGTTAAGCAAATTTGGTAATTTCTATAAGTTTAAATTTTTGTTGTATTTCGATTTAAAAAGGTACTTTTTTTTCGAACCAAAATTTCGACCTTGAACTCTTAAAAAGGACTGTTTTTGTTTCTCGTAATTGGTTTTATTAGCATTCTTAGCATTTAGGATAATGGTGATAATCACTTTTTTTTTATATGAAAATTCCAACGATTCTTATTAATTTTACATCAATAATAAATTTGAATTTAAAACATCAGACTAACTAAAAATGTTTAAAACTTGTAAGATCTCTACATTTAAGTGATGAGGTTAAAATTTCAATATGAAAATTAGAGAACTTAAACATTGAGACCTTTTTTTTTCTTCTCTAAGGTTACAATTTAATTTATGAACAAACCAAATCATTATTTTTTCCGAATTACCGGAACGGATAATCACGTCCTAATTAAGTAATTATAATGATCAAAGAAGAAAATTTCGTCTTTATTTGTTTTCGGAAATACTTGATCTGGTTGATTGATAAATTAAAAATAAAAAAAAATCACTTTTTTTATCATCATCCATAAGAATCAAACAAGGTTTTGTTTTTAGAAATTATTATTATTTAACAAATGATTTGATTCATTCAATAGGTATGGTATATATATATATATATATTTCTATCTCTGAACAAGATTTAATTTTCGCTTCCCACTTTCAATTGGATGTAAGAATGACGTTTTTTTAATAAATAATACTTTTTTCACACGCGTATCAACATAAGATACTGTATATATATACAGCTTTCCTATACAAAAAACAACAAATCACCTTTTAATTTACAAGTTGTGAGGTTGAAAAGATTGAACCCAATTATCAAAATTCAAAGAATCATTTCAAATGAATCCTAATCATCACAATAGCAAAAATTCTACAAATTCTCCAAATCAAAATTTAGTTTCCCTTTCATTTGAGACGACTGACGGACAATCTTCTCCTTCACTAGGAAGTGAAATTCACTCACAAGACAAGTTCACATTACCTTCGAATCTATTTGATATTAATCAATTCTTCACTTTAACTTCCGAAAATTTGGATGAAGTACAGTCATTAAATGAAATTGAAACATCCAAAGCTTTGAATGATCGAACGACGTCATCATCTGAAACAAGAATCTCTAAACCTTCAAAAAATAATTCCACCAGAAACTCTCCAATATTATCTACTATTTCAATTGCGAATGCATCACCCATTGAACCATTTGACAATTTTGATTATGATACTTATCCATTATCTAAATCTATTTTTGACATGATAAATGAAACTGATTCGTACAGTTATTTTGATACACCTTTTACTGAAAATAATTCTCAAAAACAATCGAATTCATCTCAACATCATTCTCAAATTCCATTTTCTACAAACGATGTCGTTCTTAATATTTCAACATCCACTGAGACATCTAATTATAATAATAATAATAAACGACCATACGCAATTATTTCAGATGATCAATTTCCTTTATCCATCGTAAATAAAAAACCAAAAATGATTCAACAAAAACAAGACGAATTAAATTTGAATCGAAGAAAATCTATTCCCGCGGTTGACATGATAGTCAATTCTTTTAATCGCACATTTATGTCACAAATCGATACGATCAATTATGATACGACAAAGTCATCATTTACGGCGAATCCTGGGAAAGTTAAAAATATTAAATCCTCCTGCTCAAATGCTATACTCTGTGTAAATCGTCATGAATTTTTTCATCAAATGGTTGCAAGATTATCAACCTTGGCACAGTTTATTAAGCAGTCATTTCGTCGACAAGACAACTTTGAAGATTTATGGGAACGTTTATATTCATTATTGAAATCCGAATGTCAACAAATACAAAAGTTAATCGACCTGACAGATTTTAAGTCATTGAATTTTCCAAAGAATTTAGGACCTTATTCAGAATATGATATTGAAAAGGAAGCGATGAAATTTATTCCTGAACATGTTACGGATTACAAATTTCCATTAAAAGTTCAACAAGATGGAAACGAAGGTTTTCGTGCAGTATCAATTTATTTGAATTATAATTATGATGATTTAACCAAGAGAGGAAAAGATGATAAAGAGCAATTATACGAGGAATTAAGAGTTCGTGTAGTGTTGGAAATGGTGAATCGAATAGATAAGAATCGTCGTATATTTGAAAACCATACAGAGGAAATTTCAGCTAATGGAGGAAATATCACTACCACTTCAGTATATGAAGGTTATTTTCAGAAAGATACTATTGAATTATTATCATATTTCGGATTATCAACTAATGCCCCGCAATACGCTTCATTAATATGGCAAATTGAATCATTAAATACATGTATTGATAATACTCTTATGGGTGTACCTCAATTATGTATTTTGGCCAATATATTGAAAGCTACGATTAAAATTATTTGTCCGGATAAAGAAAATCGATATTTTAACGCACCGATAAAATGTAAAGGAATCAGCAAAAGAATGTTTCATTTTTTAATGTATAACCCTTTATTTGGATTACAATTTCCCGTACCTCCTATCGAGAGTTATTATATTGTTCCGTTAGTTAAACAGTGCGATATTTTCTTTGATGTTTTATCTGAAGGACTGACGACATCTAAAACAATTTGACTTTAATCAAATAAAATAGACGCGTGATCTTGTGTTACGATGCATCCATTTTTCGTTTCGTTTTATATATAAACCTGTAAACATTACAAAGCGAGTTTTTAGTGTTTTTTTTAAATCGTTTTTTCTTTTCCTTGACGCTTTAAAGTACCTTCATAGTTTTTTTTTTTTTTTTTTTTTTTAAAGGTTCAACATATCACATCATACCTTATATGCTTTACTTAAATAAGTGAATATACCAATTTGTTTATTATTCCTTTTAGAAGGATGTCATATAATTTACGTAAAAGAGCACATTCTTTAATTTTTAATTCATCACCAAACACTACCGATTCAACTCCTCATAAAAAACTCAAAAAATCATCGAATACGCATGTTGCAACTCCTGTTATTAAATCAAACTTTAATTTACGAAATAAAGTGCGTTCTAAACAAAAAGATACATTTTTATTTGGCAAAGATACTCCGAATGTATTTGTTGTTATTGAGAAAAAAAATTTAGATTATCTTAATAAAAAAATTTCATCCAAGGATGATGATGATGTTGATGAGGTGAATGGTGAGTTAACTCGCGGCACATCATCATTATCAATTGAAGATGACTATAATCATGATAATTATAAAGATAATGTTAATATCGATTCGAAAGTATCAAATAAATTTTTATCACAAAGTTCAAGTTCAAAAAGCGTTAAAGATGACAAAATCGAACCATTGTTGTTGCCTAACGTCGTTTGGGTTAATGACGGAAAGAGAGGATGGTGGCCTTCAGAGGTAAAATAATTAAAATAATAAATTTTTTTTTTCTCTTCGATTTGTTCACATTCGAATATTTTTTGGTTTTGTTTAGATAATTAGTAAAGATAAATCTGAAAAACCCTTGTTAGTTAGGTTATTTGGACAAGAGTCACCGTGGTACGTATTAATAGAAAATTTCGATATAATTCTTTATAACTTTAACGTATTGTTTCTTTCTGTTTCAAAGTAAATTAGAGTTGCATAATATTTCCAAGTCAACCATCCTTCCTTTTCATAATGAACTTTTTACGCAACTTCGTAAAACCGGCGAGAATTCTAATATGAAAGAATTATTTACGAAAGCGATGACCGAAGCTATGGCAAAAGAAACTGAGGATAATGATGGGTTGCCTAGCGAAGATTGGGCAATTCAAATGGTTGTTGAAAATTCCTCTCCTAATAGCCAAAAGAAAAGGATTGGAAAGAGTTCGTGTAAGAAATATTAATCTCAATCTCATGCATATGAACGAATACTTATTGATAATTTGTTATTCTTATCCTAAAAAAAAAAAGTAGCGAATGAAAAACGTACAAAAGAAATAAATAACTCTTCTGTATTCGGAAAAGAAAGTCTGAGATGGGAGAAGTAAGAAAATATTAGAAAAATATAATAATTAATCCCATACAATCTCACTAAAATATTATTATATTACTTCCTTTAGATTTATCAGCAAAGAAGGCAGTGATTTCGAGATCGGAAAAGATGGAAAGTAAGAAAAATTCATCCTTACGATGATCATATATGTAATTTGTAATAGTTTACATGCTTTTTTTTGTTTATAGTTTACAAATTCCAGGAGAGTATGTGTTGGCTAGGGCTAGGCCGACCAAAAAATATTATCCAGCTACAATTATAAGTTTTGACAAGGTAAATTAATCGAATATATTCATGGTAAGTTAATGTGAGATAATAACTTATTAGTTAATTATAGCCAGATAAATATAAAATCCTTTTTTGTGATCATTCGAGCGGAACTGTGAAAAGGAATGATTTCTTTACAAAATATGAAGGAGGATTTAAAACTTGTGAAGTAATATGATTTTCTTTTATTATTGTTTATTTATTTATTTATCAAATATTAGCATTTATTAAAAAGTTCTTTTTGTTTAAAAGTTGGGTTGCTTTGAAATGGAATATGAAGATCCAACTTATGAAGAACCGGATTTGATAAAAACAATTCAATCACTTGAACCGATATTAAGTCAAATTTTACGAGGCAAGGAAAACTCATCATGGAGATTTCAACATTTTTATATGGGTGGTAAAAAGCGGAACTTATTAGCATCAAAAGTTTCACAGGGTCCTTTTACTTTGAGTCAGTTTGGATTAATTGCAAGAGTTTTGAGGGGAATGTTCATTCCTGAAATAGCAGAATCTATTGATAAGAAAAGTAAGATTTTGTCACCGGTGAAACTTACGAATAAACGTGATATAAAGAATGAAGAAGAATCAATCGAGGGAGTAACAGCAAAATCGAAAAATGTTGTAGATAATGATAAATCGATGAATATTGAGGATTCTATCACAATTCAACATGAAGAATCATTGTTTGATTCTGATCTTTCGAATGATATAAAATTACGATTTGTGAATGATGTTTTATTACCTGAAACCATAATAAGATTAATTATGATTGATGAGAAAATAGGATATGAAGAAGCTGATTGTAAAATGTTGGATGGATATAATGAACTCAGATGGGTTGAAAATCTTATTGCCGAACGCACTAGTTTTCAAGTTGGTAGTGAAAGTCTTAGGGAGAAAGCTAAAAAATAAATTTCTTCTTGGAAAGATTATTTTTTAAATAATTGAGAATATAAAAAAAAAAAAAAATAAAACAAGATGACAATTTTAATTTAATTATTTCTTGTAGTATATATATATTATTATATATTAATTAATTAAACATTATCATTTATATAATAACACAAAGTATTTTTGAATTGTATTATATCATTATCTGTATTAAAAATATTTCATTATTAATTATATAAATTTATTTTACATACCAATAAAAAACACGATTATCGATTGGTGGCACAAGAATTTTCATGTAAAAAAAAAAAAAAAAAAGGAATGTCGTCATTTTCGTACTGTTGCTAATAATTATGGTGAATTTGACAAAACTCGCCGCTACGGTTAATCGCACTCCCATTAATGCACCATATAGTGTCAATGCTATTAGAAAACTTTTAGATGGTTCCAAATATGTTCATAAAGAATCTCGAAAAATTCTTACTCCCTCCTGGATTGTTGGTGCAAGCCGACGGTTTGATGGCTCGATCCATTTAAAAACAACTTTGAGTGGTGAATTATTGTGAACTTTTTTTTTTTTTAAAAAAAAAAAACTTCTTAACAATTTAAACCAACTTTTTTTTTTTTTTTTACTTTTTATAATAAGCTGCACCATATAGTGGTAATATTCAAAAGCGTTTATCTTCTTCAGCAGCAGTTGATTCTAGTAAATCAACTATAGTACCAGATTTTTCTGGTTATAAAAAATATAGTGGACCAAATACTAGTCGTACATTTACTTATTTAATGGTTGGAGCAACTGGTACATTAACGGCTGCGGGATCTAAAGCCTTTGTTACCGATTTTCTTGCAAATTTAAGTGCATCTGCTGATGTTTTAGCTATGGCTAAAGTTGAAGTGGATTTATCAAAAATTCCCGAGGGTAAAAACCTTACCATTAAATGGCGTGGTAAACCTATTTTTATAAGGCATAGAACTCTGGATGAAATTTCTGAAGCGAATTCTGTACAATTATCGGATCTTAAAGATCCTCAAACCGATGCTGAAAGAACGAAAAATCCTGAATGGTTGGTTATGCTTGTAAGTTGTAAAAAAATTTTTTTAAAAAAAAATGAATTATTTTGATTTCATTTTTCATCATAACGTTCTTTTTTAAAAATTCTTCTTTAGGGAGTGTGTACTCATTTAGGTTGCGTTCCAATTGGGGAGGCTGGTGATTATCATGGCTGGTATTGTCCTTGTCATGGTTCTCATTATGATATATCAGGTCGAGTTAGAAAAGGACCTGCTCCTCTTAATCTTGAAGTTCCAGAATATAGTTTTGAAAATGAAACTAAACTTGTTATTGGATAATTTTTTGTTATACTCAATTAATTTTTAAGTATTTAAATTTAATTAAATTATTTCATTAGAAGTCAAATCATTTATCGATTACGAGTGTCCAATGAATATTGTTTGTAGCAAGATTAACCACAAAATTGTTGATAGAAAAAATACCAGAGCGAGAATGATTCAAATTCTCGAATTCCCAAATCCGAAAAAAATAATAATAATCATAATAACAATAATAATAATAAAAATTAGACACAGAAGAAAAAAAAAACCTATTTATCATTAGCTTCGAATTATATTTTTATTGATGTAAAAATTACTTTTGCTAGTTTGTTTTATTGTTATTAATCAATCCTCAAGTTAAGTTACAGTATTATCAAATTTGTCTATAGAAACTCTTAACCTAATTTCTTTTTCATACAGTACATTCATAGCTTCTTCCAATTCATCTATGGTGAATAAACTACGTAACTTTCTAAATGCCATCATATAAAGATCTATAAGCCAATAAAGGATATGGTTAATATTTCTTGATTTTACAATAAACCCTTAATCTAATATTACCTTTTGACCACGGACATTCTCTTACAGCTCTATAATATAAAGTTTTAGCTATATCATTTCTACCATAAGTCATCTCAAAATTTATGTATAAGGTCCATAATGAAATTGAACTCTTTGTCCTTATTATGTAAAATGAATGAATTAATAATCATAAAATAAATAATATTATACCAATTTATACTTACTTGGAACATTCAAGTGCTCTATCAAATAATGATCTTACACGTTTAACATTAAAAGGTTGTTGCCGACGTAATTCGGAATATAAAACAAATGTCCATATTATATGGCTAGGATTCCTGAAATAAAAAAAGGGGGGATTTATTTTATTTTTTAATATTTTGTTTTTTAAAAAATGATAATTATGATATGATGCGCGTAGCAATAATACTTTTGTAATGTTTCATCTAAAATCGGATATAATCCATTTGACATTCTACCATGAATTTCTTGATGGAAATATATTGATAAAAATATAGTATTATTAGGAAAGGCCTTTATAGCTCTTGTTAATACATTTTGAAGTAATTTCCCTGATTCATTATTTGATGATGTTGAGCTATAATTGTTAGCGAATGAATTCGAGTATTGATAAATTAATTTTACATAAGTAAAAACAATAAATATACATATAATTGTTGAGGACTAATAAATAATTAATTATTCCTTTCAAATATATAACAATTAAATTAAGGATATGCCATGAATATTAATTCAGCTTCTAAATCCAAATAACCTTTTCTCATTTCTATATCTTGTATCATTTCTTCAAATATTTTACTAGATGCTTGTAAATTCTGACTAAGACATTCCAGTAATGCATAACAAACACAATAATGTAATGAATTTCCTGATTCATATTGTGATATTGTTGTCGTGGACCTTGCCATTTGTTGTGCATAATACTAAATGAAAAGAATTTATTAAGAATTTAACACTTGGAATAAATTGGACTTTTAAGTTTAGTTCACGAACTTTCTTCGCCTTCAACAACCTAGTTACTGATACATCAATTTCCGCTATCGATTCTTTTAATATTATTATTAAATTAAGTTAGAATTGACTCAATACTTTAAAAGAATTATTTAATATTTTAAGTTACCCATATTCCCTTTTTCTTCGGTTAACAGCGTTAAAATATCTGCAAAACAAATATAAAAAAATCAGTCAAATGAAAATCAAATCTATAAGATGAAAATCAAACCTATAAGTAAAAAATATACTTACTCATAGCGGTCTTATAATGTCCTTGTTCCATTTCCATTTCTGCAAACGTTCTATGCAATAATGGAGCATCAATTTGAAATCGTTCGGGATATGATAGAATTTGTGAAATAGCACCAAGATATATTTTACGTGCCTATGATTTTTAAAAAATTATTTATACGTAAAAGGAAATATATATATATATATAAATATATTATTATATTGAAAATACCTCTGAATATTTATTTGATGATCGTTCAACCTGCGCATAACCATTCCAAAGTGCGAGATTCATTTTTTCTCGCTTCAACATACTCTTTGCAAGCGACCGTCCACTATAAACAAATTAAAATTATTTAATCAAAACATCAGAAATATGATTAACCAAAAGGAAAATAAATATACCTTGACGTATCATGTAAATGTTCTACCACGAGGCGACACAATTTTATTCCTGTGTCATTCACAACTTGTCTTAACTGATAAAATGCGTTCCTATTAGGAAATATAAATAATTCATAATCTTCCCTTGTAAAATATATAAATAACTTCTTGATGATTTCTTCTGATAAAATACATTACCTTACAAATTTCATATCGACATTTATCACATCAATTTCATCACAAATACAAATCCAATTTTGTGAATTGAATAAATTATCTTCAACTTGAGGAAATGCCTTAATAGGAAATTTGAATAAACAATTTTCTTCCAATCTTGTCGCCCAAAAACTTTTGTTCGCTATTGATTCATTTGCAAGTTTATTATTTAGGAATGGATCCGTAATCAACGGATTTGATGATGAATATCCAGGATTGAACGTTAATCCAACAAATGAAAAGCAAGCATGTAAAAGTTCTATACACGACTGAGGGAATGTTACGTCATATAAAAATGTTCGTATATCGTCAAATATTATGATCCGATATGGATCGTCTACATTGATGTCATCGTCACCTCCCGTACCTATTAAGAGAATTTGTTTCTTTATCGCGCTCAAAGTATAATAATTGAATATAAAAGTGGAATGAAAAGAATTCCTTACCTGTTCGTGTTGAAAGTAATTGACCATTATGCATTTCTTCGGCTGTTGCCCACTTCTCATAAATATCACCTAAATAATTCAAATTAATGATTCTAGCATTGAAAAATTTAGGAGGAAAAATCAATTTTTTATTTTTCAAAAATTACTAACCATTTAAATTTGAAACATTTGTAGGATTTGGTGATGCGAGAATAACCTGCATCTCATTATTGCCTATATGCGAAATTAAAATTATTAAATTTTTAACATAGTTTTCCCTCTTTTAAACTAAAAAAAAAAAATTACCTTGATCTACATAATACGACCATCCTTTGGCATCCTATAGAAATTTTAGTAATTAAAATTTGCAATACATGCATTTTAAATTATATAATTAGATAATGATCCACAAACATCTTCACCAAATCTAGGCCATTCAGTCTCCCAAAAGACCTCAAGAGCTGCGACACGATCATAAAAAGTTTGTTGACGTAAATGATCCGGCGTAAAAAAAACAAGTTCAATCATCGCTTGCCAACACGCGTAAGCTCTTTCAGAATATCCTAATTAATTAATAAATTCTTCATTAGCTTCTAGCGAAACCAATAAACTTTCGCGTGTTTATACCTGATTGTAACATAAAGACACAGGCGCGTTGAAACACATGAATCATAATTCGCTCAATTCGAAGTTTCTCTTAAAAAAAAAAAAAAAAATGGGGAAAAATTAGTATAAGATTTTTTTTCTCTCCATTAAATTCGATTTTATGAATTACCATTATAATCATTTGCGACCAATACGGATTTGCGCAAAACATGCAAACAATCTTCAAATAATTGTAAACATTGAGTAACATTAAAAGAAACAAGATTGGTTTGTCTAAAAGTTATATATTCCATCCAAAGTACTATGTCACCGGGATTCTCATTTAAAATTTGATCCCACTTTGTAAGTAATTTTGGAACGCTGTCAAATTTAAATAGAGATAAATAATCAATCAAAAAAAAAAAAAAAAAAAAGTTATCTTACTCATAAGTCTGTTCACAACATTTTAAATATTCAACAAGTAGCCAAGAATTTTTTGGATTTAATTGTATAGCTTTATCAAATATGCTTAATTTAACTTCATTAATACTTATTTTGGTATTTTCAGATTTTCTTGAAGCAGTAAATTGCATAGATTTATCTTGAAATGCAATAAATTCAAGCCATAAATTAATATCATGAGGATTCTTTATTTATTCATATAGTAGAATGAAAATTTTTTTTAGTTGAAATAAGTGATTCTTTTTTTTTCAAAATAAAAAAAAAAATGGTACATAAATAATAATGAAATAATTACTTGATCTAATTTAATATTATATTCTTTAGTTTTTTGTCTAATATCCTCTTCAGATAAATCTTTTTTCGATTGAAAAATAAATTCATGTTTCTCAGAATGTTGTTGTTTGTCTTGTCTTTCTTTTTTCTTTTCTTTTTTATCCTTTCTTGATTTTTTATCCATTTAAAAAGTTGGTTCTAATGAAAAAAGCTAGAGCGAAAATAAAAATATTAATTTTAAATGGGTAATAAGAAATCACATGATAGTTTCACAAAATATTATTATAAATTAGTATATATTGGGAAAAAAAAGTGAAAAAAAAACCTCGATTCCCAAGATTGGTTTTGGTGTGGAGAAAATAATAATAATAATAAACAACTAGCTACATTCTTTTTACAATAATAATATTATGCGCAAAGAACGTATATATATTATTTACAATATTTGATATATTGGGAGAAATGACACGATTGCAAATTATTATATTCGCAATGGTTATGATGATACCAAAAGTATTATCTATTCCTTTTCCGCAACAGTCATCGACGAGGAATTCCCCTAATTTTCCGGTAGATGAACCTGCCTCCGAACCTGAACCCGAAAAAGAGAATCATTTATTATATTGGATATTTGGTATCATAGGTATCGCTGTATTCGTGGAAATTATATATTGGATATATAGATGTATTCATTTGTTAAGGAAGGGATTTGGAAGAAATGATAATAATTATAATATTCAAAGCGCTAACGGGAATTATATTAATAATCTTTCAATTAATCGTAGGAGAGGTTTATTTGATACTCCATCATATGCTGGTTCTATTGATGAAGAATTACCTCCTTACGAAGGTTTTAGTTTACCTAAATATAATCATATCATAAACGAAAATATTTCTTCTAATGAAGGTGACCGAGGATCAATTGTTTTTCCTCGAGAAACCATCCAAATGATAGAATTAGATTTAAATTCAAATAGCGATGATAATGTTAATGGATCGCCAATTGAGACGCCTTCACCACCACCACCTTCATCACTGCCTCCATCACCACCACCACCACCATCGCCACCACCTCCACCATCACCACCTCCACCACAACCTGTTCATGCTATACCATAACGTCCTCCTACATTATCCCACATACTTTCTTGGATTATTTAAAATGAAATAAAAAAAATTTGGTTACATAATTCTATACAGCATGATCTGTACATTGTTCATAAAAAAAAAAACTTTAATTTTAACCATAGTTTCCGCATATCCGAGTTTCCGCATGTCCGACGCATAACTTTATTCGTCTGTCGATCATTTCCATGCTATTTTTGTTTGTTAATGGTAATGCAAGCTGCGGTTAGAATACCAAATTACAATGTCCTTTCCAAGAAAATAATTAATCCATTTTCAGAAATTCTCCCTTTGTCATTATTAAAATTTCTTAACACTTTTTTTTTATTTTTTGCCCTAGTTTGGAATATTTGGTTTTACAAGTTGCCCACCCTTCGGATGTTTATAAATTATTCCGCTTTAAAAGTCTTCTTTTTCCCCCCTCCTAATAAATACACAAGCTCTCAAAAACTACTTGCAGTTTTAAACAATTTTAATTGCTATAACTAAATATTTCATTGGATGAATAAAAGTGTCTGTGTGACAGATGACGTTACGATTATAAAGTTCTCCATCAATATTCAATCAACTTTTTATCAAAATAGTTTTTCCACTCAGTTTTTCCGCTCAGTTTTTCCGTTCTTGTATATTTCAATTGAACCTTTTTTTTTGATCCGCCCATTACGCCGACCAACCTTTTCCATTCTTTTTTATTTTAGCTTTTTTATTTATTTTTTTTTTTTACCGAGATTTTCGTTTAAAGCATAAAATATATATATATTTAATTTTACGCAATGGCATATAATTTAAACCAACATAAACCACATCCTGATATCAAAATCGGTCTCAGGTTAAATGATGAATATGCTAATACCTTATTACCACGAATAAAAGAGTTATTACGTCATAAACATCAAGGGTAACTTTTGCTCTTTGATTCAAAATTCTATTCATGATTGATTATAATTGAACAAATTTTTTAATCTTTTTTCTCTAAAAATAGATTTCCCGGATCTCGACCCGTTGAATTTGAATCAAAACATATTGAATTGCTAGAAAAAGAAGATTATTTTGTAAGAGATAAAACTTACGGGAAAAGATATATCTTGTTTTTCACGGCCGTAGATGGTGGCACAGCATTCATGGTACCTTTCGTTTTGTTCGTTTCTTTTTTTTTTTTTTTTAGAAACTTATTTTAAAATAAAACAACTAATTCATTAATTCATTAAATACTGCAGATGGACGAATTATGTAAATTTCGAATATTAACTGGGTTCAAGTTACCATTACGTTCAAATCATAGTTATATTCATAACGAAACAATGATGGATGGTGAGGTGGTCATGGACACGGCAAATAAAGTTTGTATATTAAATATATTTTTATTTTATGTATCATAATGTCATAATTAATAAAATATTTTTATTGTGTAGCAATGTTTACGATATTTAATATTCGATCTGATGGTTTTAAATGGGAGTATTCTTATCGAAAGACCATATAGCAAACGAATGGGAGTAAGTATTTATTTCTTAAAAAAAAGAATTCTCTCTTGTTTTGTTGTTTTGGCTAATTTTTTATTTTTTTAAGATGCTGAGTCACGACGTTCTAGAACCTTTAAATGCTGTATTGGAAAAAAATGTCGAAATGAAAAAAAAATTGCCTTTTACGTAAATATTTTCTTTTACAAAAATAAATAAAAAAAAAAGAAATACTCTTGATACTAATTTTTTTTTTTCGAAAGGATGGAAATAAAATCAATGCAATTATCATATGGACTGATAAATGTTTTAAATGGAAATGATGAGTTAATTTTCATACCGGTAAATCATCCATATGAACCTGAAGCATGTAAGAAACTGTAAGTTAAAAGTCCAGAATCGATAAAAAAAAAAATTTCCAATTTTATTTATAATTTTTTGTTCGGTGGCTTAGCAAACCTTAATTTAATTAATTAATGGATCTGCTCAATTTGTGTCGATCACTAGCCTATTATGGAAACCTATCACGCAGTTAACCGTCGATTTCATGATTGAAGTACTATATATCAAAGAAGAAAAAAAATCTATATATCATTTGTTGAAATTTGATGATAGGAATCATACGTTTTGTGATCAATTAACTCCAGAATCCAATATTGCTATTCAGTAAGTATTCTAATAATAAAATATTATGAATAATCAGAATACTTACTTTATGAAAATTATCGTTATATAGATGGCAAGATAACCCCCCTGATCGTAAAATCGCTACATTCTGGTGAGTTAATTTAGTCTATATTTGGTATGTATATACGTGTTTATTAAGAATTTTTTTCATTATTTAAGGTATGACAAAAGTTGGAAGACAATAATACATCATGAAGGAGTGCCGCCGTACTCACGTGATGGTGGATGGAGGTCAGATAACAATTATTAATATGATTGATAAAATTTATTTTTAATATTGGGTGATCTAAATTGAATATCAATATTGTAGGTTTTTAAGATTTGTGCATGAAAAGCATATAGCTGATCATGAAAGAATAGTGGAACATGTCTATAAAAGAATTCAAAACGCTGTATCGCGAGACACGGTAATTATTGTATTGCTGATATTTTAACCTATATAATTAATTCAACATTGATGTATTTATAAATAAATAATTCATTTAGTTAGAAAAACGAATATCTATTATAAGAGAGAATTGGAAACGAAGGCAATCTATACAACTAGGTGCTCAACCATTGACATCACCAACACCTCAAGTACAAACACAGTCAATAAATAATGTATTGTCTAAAAACAGATTAGACTCACTTAAGTTATATAATGAATCGGAAAACCGCTTTGAATTTGAAAAACGATTAGTTGATATTCAAGATTCTTCTAAGAATATAGGAAAAGGTCTAGTGGAAATTAGTGAATTAACTATAAAATCAGATCTTTCTCCTAAAACTTCACCTATACTTGTTCATTCGAAGGATCTTGAAGTAATAAGAAGAAGCGATGTAATAAATTTTGAAACTAAAAAACTAAAACAAAGTGATGAAGAATTATCAAACGATGAATCTGATATTAAGTCAAATGATAAAGAAAACGAAAGTGAACAAGTATTATCTGATGACGATGTAGAAAAAACGTCATCTGATAATGATTTAAGCTCGAAACGGATGTCAACTTCAAAAAACTTTTCAACAATAACAGCGGATGGTGAAACAATTGAATCAAATGGTGTTATGAGTGAACAAAATTATATCCATCAAGAAGAATCTTCTACTGAAGACGCTAATCCTTGGGGCCAGCCAGAATCACATGAAAATCCAATGTTAGATAACTATCAAGAATATTCAGTTGATGATTCGACTATTAATAAGGATGATGATGGGGAGAGGGAACATGAAAGATTTATTACGAGCAATCTTAATAACTCCAATCTTCTTAGACCTATACCTAGGCGGCATACGTTATCTGGTATAAATAATCCTTCATATCAGCAGAATATTCCTAATCCATATACACGTCAAAGGCAGATGTCTGTAACGGTTTTCTCTTATCCACCACCAAGACCAGAATCAAGCATTTCTTCCGCATCACATCCAATACATGACTTGCCTTTACAATCTCCGATATCAACCATTCCACAAAGATCGTCGCAAATTCCCGAAGCATATGGTAATACAAGATTTATCCACAATGCACCATTACAATCATTTAATCAACAACATCGATCACTAGTTATTCAACAAATACCACAACAAACGCCTGTCTTAAGACCCACACCTCAAAAACGTAAATCAAAAGGAGCACTTGATTTCATACTTAATACTAGCGGAGAATCTAACCAAAAGAGACCAAAGTTTGATGATGATGATAATGATGATTCTGGTCAATATTTATAATTATTTCCGTTATACTAATTATATATATTAGTTCTTTTAGTTCTTTTTATATTTTCTTTTTCCTTCCTTTATTAAGTAGTAATAATTTTATCGGTTTTTTTCTTTATGTAATTATAATCCTTTTTCTATATATATATTTGTTTATTTATTTGTTTATACATATGGAACCTTTGCAATAGAAAGGGGGGAAACTGCCGGGAAAATACAAAAATTAATGCTAAATTTCGCATATAAAAGTAAATTTGTTTTTTTTTTTGCCGGCAGTTTCATCCCTTTCTATTGCAAAGGGTTCATATATCTTTTTTTGAGAGCGATGGGAATTTTATTTAAATAATATAAAATATATATCCTTTTATTTTCATGTAGATATATTTTATGATTTATATATATATATATATTTTTAACAAAAAAAAAAAAAAGTTGTATTTTTTCATTTTTCATTTAAAACATTTGATCATGTTTTAAAGAACCTAATAGTAAATCATTTATTTAACATTTCACATTATAATTAAATTATTATTTTAAGTTATTAAACAAAAAAAATTTATGATTTTTTTATATATGAAATTAACAAATTATTAAGCATTAATACTAACATGATGCATTTATTATTTGAAATAAATAATATAAATATTTTTAAAATTCCTTATATAAATTTTAATTTAAATATTTAAAATAATATATAAAAACATTAATAAAATTATATTATAATTATATATAAACAAATTTATTTATAAATATTATAAGTTATCAATTATAATACAAAAATTTTATATAATAATTTTACAATTTTTTTTTAATTTTTAATTAGTATATTAAAATTTTATTTAAATATATACAAAATAATTAATTTTAATTTTATAAATTATTTTATAAATAAATAATTTATAAATATTTAAATATTAGTAATATATGATTTTATATACTTTATAAAGTTTTTTTTTAAAATAAAATAAAAAATTAATATAAATAATTAATTTACTAATAATTTTTTAATAAAATTGAATTTTTAACATTAATTAATAAAAAATTATTAGATAAAGCTATTAAAATTATTATCTTTTGATTTAGTTATTTATAGTATATAATTTATCATAAATTTATAATTATTACATGATAATTATATGATTAATTTTATATAATAATATTATAATTATATTTATTTTATTTAAATCAGATTATTTTTTTTAATAAATGTATTTTTTTAAAATTTATTGAGTTTTGCTATTATTTTTTTATAATATTATTTTATTTTTTACTATTTACATGTATTATTATTATTAATTTTATATTATTCTTTAAGAGTAGAGCCAAAATGAAACATCTGGACCAAAATTTCCAAATTGTGCACAGAAAGATCTTTGATAGTCTGCAAATCAATTCTAGTTATATAAATCAATTATTGAATTTAAGCTTCCTATTCAATTTGGCTCAAATCTAATTATCAAAGATATTGGTGTCAAACTTAGCTTGGAATTAACCCTTCAGATACTAAGAATTACATTGTTGAATATAACTATTCTAGCTTGATTTTAATCCCAAAATAATATATTAAAAAAATTATACTATTCTGTTTACCTCTGAAAGGCTTATTAAAAATTAAGAAATGAAGTGACGTAATTTGAGTTGGATCTGATCTTGCAAACCTAATATGAACAATAACTTCTATACTATTTTGCTTACCTTCTAAGAGTCCATCAAAAATCAAGGAATAAAGTGATGTGATTTGAGCTGGGTTTGACCATATAAGCCTAAAATACATATCATATTTCATAATATCTAAGGTATTTAAAAATATGTGATACAAATATATATGCATATTTTAAAGATTTTTCACATATGTTATGTGTCACATATTTTATAAAAAATCACATAAAATATGTATGTACATATTCAACAACTAATATGATTGGCTGATTATAATCATAAAATCTCATTAAATAAAATTATCATTACTATATTCCTGTAATAATAATAGAAAGAGTAAATTTAGCACAACTTTATAAAGACAGCTATTATATTAGTATCAATTTATATTTTACAAATTTTGCAACATTAGTATTGATCATAAAAACAAATCTAAAGTTGATCAACATTTAAAAATAAATAAGCATAAAAAAAATAAACTTACAATAGAACGAAAAAATTAATTAAATAACACATTGCGACAACAAAACACACTTAAAACTTTTGAACATACAATTATTAAAAAAGATAAACTTAATTTGGAATTAGTTAAAGATTTACTACAACTGACATTCCTTTAGAAAAGGTTAACAAATTAAGGTTTTTTTTATAAATTTTATAAAAATAATATATTTTAGCATATTAATATTATTAACGTCTGATTTTTACAAACCATAACGATAGACGAGATATTTGAGTGATTGCATTTTATTATTTATATTTATTTGTTTTATATTATTTCTTAAACTTATTATCATATAGGAATGTTTTCAGTAAAATCAAGTCATGAGGCATAGTAAATCATATGATCCATAATGTGATTTTACTAGAAACGCTCTCATATACTGAATTTGGATATGATATTTGATACACTATATAACGAATAAATTGTTAAAATATTACTGAATTTTCTTATTATAACGAATTGTGAGATTCAACTGTAATTACAGTGAACTCTCCATAAGTGCATCTCTCAGGGCTGATCATGTTTGTGCATTTAGGAAAGGTGTATATTTAAAGAATAGCCAATAAAATTATAGATATTATTACACAATTATCGCAACTTTAATTTTTTCAGTGATTTTATTAAAATTTGAATATTTTTCTCTCAAATTAAACATTTTACAGCATAAGTCACAAACTAAACATTACTTTTAATGAAAATATGTATCAATATTTGTTTGCCACATTAAACTTGTTTTTTCAATTTTTTCAATTTTTTTTACTAACTTTACATATTCTTCCATATTGTCATGTTGGAGCAGAAATATATATACAATTTCCAAATTAACAATTGCAGTGCTAGTATTAATAACGGAATTTTCACAATTATCATCCATTTTTTCTAAATCCATATTTTCCTCATCAGTATTTTAAAAAAATATGCAAATTCTTAATCATTTTTAGGAATTTCAAAAATAACATTCTCTTCAGGAATGTTAAGAAATTCTTCTAACTTTATTGGATGGGAGAGATTAAGGGCCTGAATATCATCTGCAAGATCATTAAGCATTGATTCTTCAGATCAATGGATATCTTCTAATATATTTCACAAATCTGCTTATTCATTGATATAAAGGGGAAGAATTTTTATATAATGCCAGCAGTTATGAATTGTTCAACTTTAACCTCATCCCATGCTTTAATGACAAAATAAGCTATTTGCAAGATATTTTTCTACACAGTTATCTGCTTCTATATACTGTAGCATTAAACTTTTAAAAAATAATTAATTAAGTTTTAAATACTTATGAGATATACAAGTTTAATATCATATTTTACTGTATATGAGAATGATGATAATGTCTTTTAAAGGTCATGATTATTTCAGCATCCATTGGCTAGATTTTTGAGATTGTGTTTAGAGGCAGAAAATGAACATCAGTATATTGTAAAGTAAGGCCATCTAATTTGTAACTAGAACAGTTATCAATAAGAAGTAATACACGCTGACCTTAATGCTTTAGACCAACTTAATGATCAAATTTCTGAATCTATTCTTGAAAGAGTGATGTAATCATCTAGGCAGGATTGGGAAGTACAGTGTTAGTACAATGATTAGTACAGTTAGTACAGTTAGTACATTATAATAATTAATATAAAAATTAGTACAAGTACAGTACAAGTACAATGGTAATTTTATCTAGTACATACAAAATTCCCAACCCTGCATCTAGACTTTGGCATTATTACTATATATCATAGACATATTTAGATTTTAACATTTTTAAAACAACGCAGTCTTTCATATTTGCCAAGTATTAAGGGTTTTAATTTATAAGAATTATCAGCATTTACAAATAATGCAATTAAGAAATGTTCTTTATTTACTTTATATTCAGAAAAACGTTTGGTTGCAAGTGTCTGATCAGGTTCTAATCTATAAATTAATAAGATAAGTATATTTATTTATTTATTTTAATATTTTAATTATTTTTTTATATTAATTAAATTTTACCTGTAGAAAAGTCCAGTCTCATCCATATTATAAATTCTTTTTAGAGAATAGTTAGAACAACGTTTCTTTAACAGGGGTAAGGCATTAATAATAGCAGATTTATCAGTAGATAAAGCTTTTCCTTCAAGTTTTTATTGACGAATACCATTCTGATCCTTGAACTTTTGAAGCCATCCTGAGGAAAATTGTAATTTATCTTGAGGAATTTTTAATGTATTGGCAAGTATTTTAGCTTTTTCAATAAGTATTGTATCATTTAAAATTATTTGATGCTGATAATCTAAAATAAACTCTTTGAGTGCAAGCTCAAGTTCTGGATAGGTGACAGGTTTATGCTATTTTATGTTTGGATTAATAGTTTCTGAACTAAGTCATTTTTCTGATATTTGTAAAATATGAGTAATTGTATTTTCAAAAACTCTAAAGTCTCACTGTTCTTCAATCTGATTAACATATTAAGCTTGAATCTTTTTACTATTATCACGAGCGTAAATACAAAGGTCTCATTTTTGAATTTCAGTAAGAATGGTTCTTTTAAGAGCCATATTTTTAGGAGAATACTATTAAATAATATAGTAGCGTAAGTATTTATTTCAATAGAAAATGGATAGATGTTACATAAATCATATAAGTTTTTCGTTCTTTTTTTCTTAATTTAAATACATAGTGAAATCTAATTTTTTTTTACAATAACTTTCAACAATCTGCTTTTTATTTATATTGGTTTATTTATTTACTAACATGTTCTATTTACTTGTAAGTATATTCATCTCATATGATTATTTTTAAATCTTTTCAACTAATACAAATTTGGTTTGATTATAATAATTCATTTATACACTTATAAAATTTGGATTAATTATTTTTATAAGTAATTATACAACCTATTAGAAATATTCAATAAAAAAATAAAAAATACATTTATAAATGATATAAATATGCTCTTTTTTGTAAAATTATTTTTAATAGTTAAATTTATTAGCATTTTTTGATTTCTTTGAAAGTATACATGGAGTTATTTAAATTAAATTAGTTATCACGTGATAATACAGTTAATTTTGATTGGTTACGGATCACGTGAATACATTTATAGAGGATGCTCTAATATATTCAAGATTTAGAATTACTTACACAGTGTAGAATATGAAGGGTGTACACTTAGCTTTAAATCCTGAGCTTGGGATTGAATCATAACGTGCATATAGAGAGGATGTACACTTATAGAGGATGCACTTATGGAGAATTTACTGTATTTTACTTTTTTATTATGATTGGCTAACCTAATGATCACGTGAGAGGTGAAATATTTAAGAACCCCCCTCTTCCCTTATAATTACATCATATATATCACTTCTCTTAGCAATTATTTCATCTTACACTTCATAATGTAATTTAACTATTCTTAGAGTCTAAATAGTTTAATAGGTATTAAAATACCTGTATATAAATTTTTGTAAAGATTGGTTATTAATATAGTTAAAAGTAAATTCTAAAAGTTTATCATGATTTTAGAAAAATGGTATCAAGATGTTTAAAGAATTATTTACATTTTAAAAATCAAATTACTAAAAATAATTTTACTTTATATTTTATAAAATAATTTCACTACTTTAGTTAAATGAAATTGCCTTTCAGAGTCTAAGTAAAGTTATTCAGCACTAAGATGTATTTTCTATTCTAATATTTAATGTAATTGAAAAAAAAATATTACATGAAAAATAATATTTATTTTATATAAATCATTTTAAAACATTACTAATATCATATAAAAAGTGATTATAAATAGTTTATTTATTAGTTATTTAAAAAACAAAAATTTTATTTCAGTGATAGTAATTAACATTATAGTAAAACTTCTTTAAATGTATCCTTTAGAATTATAGTGAGGATTTGAAAAAATGTGTATTTAAAGAGATATAAGAAATTTTATATGATCTTTATATATTTGGGGCTGTGTGGAATATACATGAAGTTGAAATGGATCATTTCAGATATCCGAAATGGTCGAAATAGTTGAAATCATTTTGACCATTGGAGGCTAAAGTTGCGAAATAGTCGAAATGACATCATATCACATGATTTTTTATATTTAGAAAAAACAAAAAACAAAAGATGTACAATCTTGATCAATATCGCTCCGATTCGTATGAAACAACTACCCATTCGATTCCTCAAAACTAGGCAGATCCAATGAGCTAATATTCATTGATTTTGGATTATCCAATCACGTGATACTTGCAATTGTATTATCAGCTGAAATTATAAATCAATAAATTCTACTTTAAAAGAGTTTGGATTTCAAAATACGATCGCAAATATCTCGAGATGAGATGATCCAAAATCAAAGGAAAAAAAAACTCTTTCTCCCAAATGTTCAGTTTACTAAAAAGATCGACAAAAAAAAATTATGCCAGTTACTAGAGCGACTTCTTCCAAACTACAAATGAAAAATACTTATCAACGAAATAAACGAAATATCTCAGTTAACAACTCCAACGTTTCAAGTTTTTCTGCAAAAACAACTGAAACAAATGAAAACAATATTTCACAAAAAAAACAAAAAACTTTTACACCTCCAAACGAAGACGATATTGACCCAGAAATCGAAAAAATTATTACAAATGTTATGTCAAAGGACAACAAAGAACCTTTATTTGAATAAAAAACTGATAAAAATTTTCCCCACATCGAAGTGCCCTTAGAAATGGATATCGACACTACTTCTACTAACACTTCTTCCCAGACTTTCCTTCTAAAACAAACCGCTAATGACTCCATGCATGCCTAACCTAAAAGTAACAACATTTTTGAAGATACAGGTTTTGACTACATACTTCCTCCTATTAATAAAGAGAAACAAAAACAAACTTGATCTGAAGAACTCGAACAAAACAAAGGGTCACATGACCAAGAAAATCAAGAGGTTTCATATAATATCATCATAGCTCCTATATGCTTTTTCACGACAGACAACACGTCAGACATAAAAGGCAAAACTATTGCTGAAAAATGCATATTCATTAATTCTCTATTTGTACGATTCAATAGTTATCAAGGTTCCACCTACATTTCCAAATTTAGAAAATTTACAGTCTATTTCCAATTAATAGAGGATCTAACATA